TCAATGTTAGTCTGCCGAGTTTACTAAAACATACCCGCTGAGCAAAGACTCGTAAAACGAAGTTTCCGTAAACTCGATTTCATACTTAGGTATTAGGTAATAACATCTAAAGACTAATTCCTTTTCTATGATTATCATTACATATCATTATCTACCCAGACTTGGCCCTACTTAAACTCAATACGTCACTATCTTCGCCAGATGCGGCAACTTTTTCTTCAAATTTATCGGCAACTAAAATACTACAGACACTCGATCAAACGTGCGTCTATCTTGAACGATAGGAACGAACCGAAAAATATGTAATCATTTGAGAGTGAAATTCAAATGTGACAGATTTTCGCGTATTGCGATATAACTTTGTATTTCAGAAAATGGTGTACTTAGTTATTAGGTGATAACATCTAAAGACGAATTCATTTTCTATGATTATCGCCACAGAATATTATCTACACAGATTTGGCCCTACTTAAACTCAATACGTCATTATCTTCGCCAGATGCGGCAACTTTTTTTTTAATTTATCAGCGACTGAAATACTACAGACAATCGATCAAACGTGCGTCTATCTTGAAGGACAGGAAAGGACCGAAAAAAATGTATAATGTTTTAAGAGTGAAACTTAAATGTGACAGATTTTCGCGTATTGCGATATTACTTTGTATTTCGGAAAATGGTTAAATAAAATTATTCGTAAATAATATTTGATCTAAATTAATCGCAAGCAATGTTATAACATTTAACGTCCGGCTTTTGGTTGCGAGATATCTTTTAATGTAAAATGAAGCAAGGCACGTCTGTAAACAGTTAAAGATTATTGCAATCAGATTATCGGAATATCGCTAGTAAGTCGGCACAAATAATTATTATTATTATTATACGTTAGCTATACACTATAGCAAATCATTAAAACGCAAAAATGTTGCAGTAACGAGTCTTCCCCGTGAGGTGTACTTCGCCGACTTTTTGTACTGAATATGCCGATTGAGATTACAGTGTTTGATGTTTACCGACTTTATGAGCAGACGCAAGTTATATTAAACGAGAGAGATTTCCACGCGAGAAAAACGCTCGTGAGATATCCACGCGAGAAAAAACGCTCGTCTTTAATTGATAAATTAGAAATCCGAGATACAAAAATTGACACTTGGCGCCGGAGAGGCGGAAACCGAATCCTGATATCGGATCCCGTTGGATTCGAATACTCCGGATTCGGTATTCTATATTACCCATCCCAAATTGTAAGGCAATAACGTGAATCGTTTTGTTAAATTATTGTTGTTTATAATGTTGGAAAAATATTTGGCGCTCCGGAAGTATGCGCACCAAGATGGCGCACAACCTGATCCTGGTACACATACTATGTTCAGATTGTGCACATGCTTCGGGAGCACCAAATATTTTGCTTCGCATCTAATGGACGAACAGAAGGTACCCGTTCTTTAACTCTCAATTTTGCCATTCCGTTATAATAGACGGGAACACGTCAATTCCGTAACGTTTGTCCTTTCCAGGGGCCGAGACATATGTGAATGATAATAATTAAATCTGAAAATCCCAGTAAAGCAGAGAGATTGCTTCAAAATCATTTTTAAAACGCACAGAAATTTACGAGACAATAATAATAATTAATACCAATTCAATCAACTAAATTTTCTAGATTTTGTTGTCACCAATAATATTAAAACTACAGAGGCGTATCCAGAATATTTTGCGACCGGGGCAAACTATAAAATTGGCGCCCCGACCTCCACGTTTAATCATATTTTCTATTACATTTAATTGTATTGAAAAATATCAACTTACATCGGAGTGCGCAGGCAAGAACTTAACGACACAGAACCACGTATTTGACCCCGTGCATTTTGTTACCTAACGTTACTAAATCAATTTTTGCTCCGTTTCCCGGACAGCTTTTTTGGCCATGTATTTACGATGGAAATCTGACCTTGCGCGAGCTATGTGCCTGATGACGTCGGCAGTCGACGTAAGCGGATCTGACCGACTGTGCAGTTGGCCATGTACTGAGACTAGATGTCTTCCGCCGGTGCAATCATGCTTGTGATCGGTTTTTGACCCTTGTAAAATTTTCACAAGCCTCATTTTGGCGTCCCCGTACTTTGGTGTCCGGGGAAATATGTACCCCCCCCCCATTATTTGTGAGGTTCAGTGTGCAACATCAGTTTGGTTACTAAGGCTCCTGGCCCAAATCAATCATATATGGCCCAAATCAACACCAGCGATGGAATGTGGATAAAATATGAATAAGTGAGCAACAGTAAAAAAATTATAGAAATTTCAGTAATATATATATTTTTTACCAATTATTTTATCGTATTTTATGCTAAATATGGCGTCGAAAAATCTACCACTAGGTGATGCTGTCACGAGTTGATCTGACTCCGTTTAGTCAAGTCTGCCCAGCCTTTCCTGGCTGCCTGAATACCGGTACTGAAATAAACTACAGTATCAATTTTATCCATAGATGTTAGGGAACTCGAAGCATAATACCCTTTGAAAAGATTAAAGATTGATGCTGTCGAAGGTTAGTACTCTCAAATGTTATAGTATTTGTAGAATATTCTGACACAGAGAGGGTTGTCACTTAGTCTCAATATTATCGGTTCCGCAGTCTGTCAGTTTCAGTTTCTCAGTCAGGTTGCCTGCGATGGCATTTTGTGTATAGCATCTTTAAAGTTAGGATTCACGATTTGCCTTTTTGAAATGCATTCAAAATGCAGCCAGTTTTCTGGTTTTAGTGATTATTCAAAGGCTATTTCTATTTTACAATTTTGTTGGGTTTTTGATAGAGAGAGAGAGGTTTAATTTTTCCTCAACCAAAATAAAATAACAGTCATCGTAATTATAATAATACTAATAAGTAATAAATTAGTTTTGTATACAGCAGGGAGTGATACGACCATACGGTCATCAAAGTCAACTCCCCCCCCCCCTCTTCAAGAAGAGGAACACAACAATATACTGATATAGCATGATATAATTAGATTTTCTCATTTGCCCAGTGTAGAGAAAAAGACATCTTAACCAAATAGGGTGGCTTACCCACTTTAAGGACACGACCTATTGGCGGTCATCAACTTCATCGATTATTTTAATACCGAAAAAATTAACGAACCGCGATGATATTTCTCACGCATTGTCGTCCACTTATCCCTCGTAGCTCTGCAAAATTACATTAAAATGCAGCCACAAAACAAAAAAGTTACGACCGAATACCCACCCGAAGAAAAAAAACGACCATTTTTTCATGTCGCCAACTACCCATTGTCTCTTAAAAAAAGCTTGAAAATCCACACAAATATAAGCGACAAAAAGATGAAACGTGGCAGGTGGGTAGAGTTGTTTTTCTTTTAACCATCTTCCAAGTTTCGCATTTCAACATTTAAAGGAGGGGGAATAGGGGGTGCGCATTTTCAATACGTCGATAATATCTTTGTCGACCAATTTGCGATCATTGTGTTTTTGTCTGTTTGATTGTTGTGATGCGGTGCTTTGTTTACAATTTGACAAGTTGTGTTCGAAATAACCGTGTTCCTAAAATATAAGACGGTCTGAAATGCAATTAGAAGCCAAATTTTTCACGCATGGCTGCGTATGTGCTAGTCTCAACGCAGCATAAGCGATGTTCAAGGCTTGAAATCCGCGCTCGCACACTGGTCGTTCGGTCGCAAATACATCTTCAGAGTGTCGTGGTTTGTATAGCTTTAACCCCTGGTCGTAGAAAGTTAATTCGAGATTTACCGTGTAGAATAAATGCCAATGCACCTACGGTGAAAAAATTAACGGGTTAGAAATATTGGTTTTTGTTTTATAGCGGTTAGAATGAAATCGTCCGCAGACTGGCTGCACCACCCTAGTTCTGCAGTACTCAGATTTCAAGATGTCCCGTCATCAATAAAGTAATACCTTCATTTGTCACTAAAAGGAGGACGTCTTGCATTGTCAGTAAGTTAATAATAGTGGCAAAACCTGATAGATATTTGATTATATGTAAACAATAAACACATACAGTGATACCTTTGTAGAACCACTCAATACTCGGAACAATTCGGTTGTTGGCCTAAAAATCCTAGTCGGTAACACTGCGGTACATGGATGGCAATTCAGTACTCAAACACCCAAGCGCATCGCCAAATGAGATGAAAACCTTGGAATCGCACATTTTGACCATTCAACAAGAGAGCGATGCCTAAATATATTGGCATGAAGGCCAAAATAAAGTAATATGGGTGTGCAATCTGTCACAGTAGAGCACGGTAAGTACATTTGGAGGCTTGTTCACTAAACGATGAATCAAGCAAACTATTTCTTTTGCTTTCACGTTGTAACGATCTCAATATGAGAGAGATCGTTAGCGAGTTCGTTACCTTCGACAGAGATGCCATTTCTGACTTTTCTTTGGCACGCTCTATGACGTGATTGGGACGTCATAGTGATGTAATTTTTCGATGACACAGTCAGGTGGGGGTTAAGGGATAACATATGCGAAAATCTTTGTGCCCAGACACTTAGAAGTACTTACGGCATTTAGTGAACATGCACCCAATACGAAACTTGCTTAAACATACAGTAACCAATACAAACTATTTTTATTGTTATTAAGTACACATCCAAATAATTATTGTTGTCTAGGTACACATTTTGTTAATATTTTTGGCATTTTAGAATGTGTAAGAACAAATTAAAATACTGTAATTGGTTTTTTCTTAAGACACCAATTCAGTAGTTGCTTACCAATCCTGAATAAATTGTGTTCGACTACCATGGTATTACCGTATGTACATAAAAGCAAGCCTAATACAGACGAAGCAAAATGATCTTTAAAGTGTAGGAAAATTGATAATATTGGCAAACTTATAAGTTATTATATTTAAACAATATTCATATCCTAAACTCCTGGATTCCAATAGAACGCCAGTTGAAAACCACCGAGTAACAAACATGTTTCTCGTGCAAATAAAAATTATTTTATTTCTCAGATAATTTACCATAATGTTAGGTAGGTCTCCCTGTGGACTCTGATAATATCAGCATTTTTTAAATTTTTGGAATAATATTTAATAATCAATTATGGGAGCAAATTGTGTGAAGCGGCAACGTACGCCGGTTCGTAATATTCGACAACGCACAAGCGTCGAGGAAAACAATGAGGAACCATTCATTCTCGTTCTGAATGAGCGATCACCAAATCCGAGCAGCTCATCTGGGACTTCGTTTCCGTTTCTACGACGACGTTCGGTGAATGAGGACTCCCGGCAGTTGTGGTACACTCGCCACACTTTGAGTGAAAACGATATCGATAAACATGTTCTGGAAACACTTCGAATTTTGAGAGTGTCTGCAGAGAATGATACAAATTTAATAATAAGAATGAGAATGTTCCGGTCATGGGCGAACGGTGAAAAAGGATGGAAAATGATTCTGAACTCACTCATCCGTGCGATTCCGCTAGAAGATCCGCTTGGCCCATCAGCGATAACATTATTCATTGACCATTGTCCGTTGCCAACTAAAAAAGCAGTTTCAAATTTTATATCGGAGTTACACTTATCAAGAGATTTAAATAAACAAGAACACGGCGTGAAGACGGAATCGAGGCATCGAAACATTTGCGCAGTTTTGGGACATTTAGCTGAAAGTCTGGCATCCCCGTTTAGCAAGTTAATGCTCACTGATGAAATACTGGAATATCTTTTAAGCGCGGTAAATGCTGAAAGTTGCGTCTCAGACACGAGTTCCACAAATATTCTTTTCTCTCTCATTGCTCTAGAAAAATTGTCTCAAGTTAAAGACAATAAAGATAGGATTATGCAGACGGACATCACACACAGACTCCAAGAACTGGAATGCTTTTACGCATCAGATGATTATAGAAAACGACAGGTTGGATTTCTATCACAGTGGTTGCTCGACAACATTTTCTTAGCGGAAGGAAGGTCTTGCACGTACGAAACAGTGGACGTTCGAAACATCAATGCAATGTTGAATGATAACGATGTCAGTGAATACCTGAAATTATCAGCCGACGGCCTCGAAGCCAGATCAGACGCCCCATCCTTCGAATCGGTTCGTTGCACTTTCTCCGTCGATCGTGGAGTTTGGTTTTATGAGGTTACCGTGGTTACGTCTGGTGTGATGCAAATTGGTTGGGCGACGAAGCATAGCAAGTTTCTGAACCATGACGGATTTGGTATTGGCGATGACGAGTTTAGCTACGCCTACGATGGTTGTAGACAATTGTGCTGGTATCAGGCTCAGTCTCACCCACATTCGCACCCAAGTTGGAAGGAGGGTGACACCCTGGGTTTGCTTCTTGATATTGATAACTTAGAGACTGTGTTTTACCTGAACGGCATTCCCCTACCCCCAAGTAAAAATTTATTCAACATAGCGAAGAATGGGTTTTTCGCTGCAGCAAGTTTCATGTCGTTTCAACAATGTAGGTTTAATTTTGGATCTGAACCGTTTAGGTTTCCCCCCACAGATCGAGAATTCTCGACATTTAATGACGTTGCGATCCTTGGCGAATCCGACAAAACAATTCTTCCGAAACACTTGAAGTTGAAAGCGCTTTTGCAACAAAGAACTTCTTTTCGAGACGATCATTGCACTATATGTTGTGATAACGAGGCTGACACCACTTTGATGCCTTGTGGCCACGATGGCATATGCCACGACTGCTCACGTCAGATAAGTCAATGCCATCTTTGCAGGCAAACCATCCAGTCAAGGAAAACTGCAGAAAAAACTCTGGACCCCAATATGGCCTAATGAATAATGATGTCTTCATACTAACTGTCTGTTTGAGATTATGCTATTCATAGAGAGTGACCCAGAAAAACAGCTAATTTGGAACGTATTTTAGAGAAAATGCAACTTTTGCGCAGCAAAGCGTCCTTGATTAATGAAACTTTTTGGTATAATCATACAGAACCAGAAGTTTAATTGTTGAATAATTTTCTTCATTTTTAAAGAAGCAATGAAATAATTTGCAAGTCTGTATTTTTTGGTCACTCTGTATATCAGTGCTTTGTTGAAAAGTTCCAAATGGCTTTTGTGTACAGAATCTCCAAAACAAATCGAGTAATCGAATATTTTCAATATTGGTTTATTGTTGTTAGTTTTTGATTTAGAAATAATTCACACATACTCTGTACCAAGACTGTCAGGTCAAGTGTAGCTGGGGCACCAGGTCTAGTCCAAATGCCGGTAACTTTAAAACTTTGAGTCTCAAGTCAATTTGTGTCCATTCTAATCCCCAAGTGTGACTGAGTCAATTTAGTTCCAACTGAAAATATTCAAAGACTACCCTAAAATGATATATTTTCGGAGATAATACATTTCTGATCAATTTGGGGATCTTTGTACATAGTCAGTGCACTAATTATCATAGGCTTCTTTAAGAACTCCAACTTGCTTGAAGACCATAAAAACTACAACTCACTCAGATTTGAAGAACTCCACTCTGTGAACGAATTCAACAGTATACCGTAATGGTTGTATAAATTTGGCACAAATCAAATTTATTAGTGTTAGCTATGTTTACATCAGAAAACCTGAAATTTCAACGTTGTTTCACCTAGAATGTTATAAATAAAGTAGGCAATGCCGAACCGCAGATCTCAGTATTATTAAAATACAATGGCAGGTTACCTAACCCAGGTTGATTATGGAGAGTGAAATGCATGTAAATATGTCATGCAAAATATATGTATGAAAGAATGGTGAAAAAATTTTCTTTTGCTCCTCCTTCCAAAAAAAAAGCATTTCATAATTTTTCTTGAATAAGAACGGAGCAGTTGCATCATCTTGATGCTGCTCGAACTCCGCCTTGTGTACATATCATCAGTATTATTGTTCTTTGCACTTTTTTCTTATTTTCTTTGCTTCATGGAAAAGCATATTCTTGATATTTCACTGCGAGATTTATTCTAACATGTTTAATAGAGCTGGGAATTTTAGTGAATAAAACTCCTGCCAGCCACATAAAATTGAACGGTTGCATTGAATATTTTGACAGTTGTTGAAATGAATTGTAACTGTTAACCATATTATTAAAGTGGTTAAATATTCCCAGCCCTACCATCCAACAACTACTACAGCCAATGCAGCATGGTAAGAAATGTATTTATTGCCGCAGTAAGACCAGAAGCTCATTTCACATTTTTGAGGAAACTTCTTGTGTAATTATGGACATGGGCAAACTATGACCTGCGGGCCAAATTCGACCTTGAGATAATCCAATCTGGCCTTCCTGATGAAGCCACAAACTAAAACCAAATTTTGATCTTGCAACATAAAAAGAACTTAAGGAATCTTTTGAGATTGCAATTTAATTTAGTGTGGCACGAGGTTTATTGTTTCCCACTTTTGCCTCTGTAACAATCTGTGTATATTGTTCATAAAATGTAACTTTTTACGCCACACTTACATGGCCCGCCAGTCTAGGTCTGCAAAATTTTGGCCCTGGTCCAAAAACCTTGCCCAGTAGGCTTGGCGCATCCCTTGGTCTGGGTTTATGATTGACTGTTCCAACCGAACTGATATAAATATGACACAACCTTGAAATGTGTCCTTGACTAATTCTGGTTTTACAGCGGCGATAAATAGGGTGTCCATAAAGTCTCAAAATTTTTTGAAATTGCAAAGGGAATTTATCGATTTAATATATTGTTTTGGCACTGATTAAAAACAACAAACCTGGTCAAGATATTTTGAGAACTGACTTCATAACCAAATAGAAATTGTGAATAGACTTTATGGACACCCTGTATAGCTTTGAGAATGTGAGCGGAACCAACCTATCGGCACTCTTTCCACTTTTATCTGAGTGTGCCAAATATGGAAGATAACACTGCTACCTTCTGAGTGTTCTGTTTCTTTGAAATGGATACCTATTCATGCCATTTCACACTTCAGTGCACAAAAAGTTTTAAACGTTTCTGCCTAGCTTGTGTTTACTGAACTTTTTCTTTTATGCTATATGTAAGTTTTGCTTTTTATATTCCACTAAATGGTGAAATCTTCCTAAATTTTGAATCTCCATTGTCAAAGTAGTCAAAGGATTTATATTTCGAAATATTTTTAAAAGTGTAAATCTGATCCATCCTTGACTTAAACCGGGAAATGTCAATTCAAAAACCTTCTATTTAAAATACTCGCATGTTATTTGATTTCAAGCAAGTCAACTGGCAATTTTACTATGCTTCATATCTACAAAGATTATCGACTTATTCTGTATCATGAAATTTTTCTTAATTTTGTGTCGCATCATGTATTTCACATTATATAAAAGTAGTTTTTGCTAACCATGTTGTTTGAGCTGAAATTTCGGTACTCTGGTAGCATACGAATCAAGATGGCGGACACTGCAACGTAGTATGTGTAGAAAATTGGAACAAAATTATGGCTTAACCCTAAACTGGTACACATACTACGTTCCGGTGTCTGCCATCTTGGTTCGCATACTACAGTAGTACCGAAATCAAGAGTGGGGGAATCTGTGATATTATTTCAATGAGGACAGTCAATTTGGTGGTTTGGTAATATTGTTATGTCACCGGGTTAAGGTATAACTTTTATATTTAACACAGAGAAGAAAGCCATTATGACTGCTCAATCATATGGCGCAACACGCTATCATGTGCAGGTTACCGGTACATATTGGACATAGGATTGGTTGACCAGCTAGTTCTTTCAGAAGCATAGACTTGATGGTGCAGATGGCCTTCCATATGATATGACATCCATATTATGGTATCCCATATGATTAAGATAGATAGCTTATTTCGAAACATCTATCTTATTGGACTTGAGACATTTATCTTATTCGCCTTCAATTTGCCGATACAAATAAGAAAATATTTTTCTAACCTGCCCAGAGTAATAGTTAATAAGTTATGTCCAAGATAACTAAATCAGGCACAAGAGCGTGGTATTTCACTTGTGACTCACTAATAGGTGATTGATCAGCTGATTATCGTTTGACGTCATATTAAACGTATTGGACGTTGGTTTTGCGCAAAAGCAGTTTATTTTTAAATCGGAAAGCGAAACAGCAGGTAACAAAAGATACACACAGTAGGTTATTCTTGGGAAGTCACCAAAACTTCAAACGATGTTTCATTGCAACCTGTGAGTGAGATTAGTTGAGTCGTTCACGCGGTGAACAACGACTCCTAATCTCGGTCTACTGTAATTTACGGAGCATAAATCGCAATTTGAATCTTTTTCTCTAAAAAACCGATCGTGCTCTTTAAGAACCAATGCCCATAATCAGGGATGGCCATTTCCGAATACTAAACTATTCCGAATACATTCTAAAATAATGTTTTCGAATCTGGAATTCCGAATACATTCTAAAATCGAAAATAGCACATTTTTGTTTTAGTTTAACAAAACCCAGTAAAATAGGAAATAAGCTTCAATAGAAATATTAGAATAAAGCCACAAACCAACAGTATATGTACACAAAGTAATTGGTAGTTTATAGCTATCAATAAAAAATAATAGCAACTTGTGACACAGTCAGTTTATTAAAATTATTCACTTTGTACAAATGACCATATGAAAGATAGCCAAGGAGTTCTAAATCTATTGACAAAAATACTACTTGTATTCAGATAATTGTGTATATTTTCTGAGAGTAATAAAATTTATTGGCAATACAGCCAACAACAATCGAAAATCTATTATGCCTTTAAAAATTCTAATATTTAAGCCTGAGGTATTCTACTACCTACCAGTATATTAATTTATGTGAACCATATTGTTGTGTTTGGAATTAGAAATAAATTAGTAGAGTATATAGATGACCACCACTGCCAGCGCGCAGCCAGGATTTTCGAAATCGGAAATTCCCATTGCCGCCTGAAACACCCACCGCGATTTCGCGCTCGTTAATTAAAATAGCCGTCTTTTCAGCGTATAATGATCACTCTGTTACGTAAAAATTCAATTCATGACAACTACGAGATTCTAAAATATCTTTATATAATAATTTAATGTGTCCAACGTAACTCGCGGTTGCTTCTTCTTAGGTTAAAAAAAAACATTACTATTCGGTCCACGTCGATCTGTGACCTAAAATTGAGAGATAAACTGCCTGATGTATTTAATTTTAATACGTATTTTTGCAATCTTGCCAACTCGTTATCGCCGTTGGAAAAATCTCAAATAATTATATAAAATCCTGTTAAGTGTAGAGTATAATTCATTTCATACAATGAATATACATATAAAGTTTAGCAGTGAATTAAAAATACATATTCATCGCCGCGATTATGCCACCTGTTAAAAGAGTCGACTTTTACAACAAATAATATAACAACGAATATATATTTTTCTGTTGTGCAAAGTGATGAATTCATGACCGACACGGGCATATTTAAAATGTCTTGCTTTATTAATTTAATTGTCTTCAATTTAACCTGCGGTTGCGTCGACAAAATAAAATCCTCACCACTCTTATATACCATTGCAATCCGCGGTCATAAAAATAAAAACGTGAGGTAAACTGTTCGATTAAATATTGTTTTGATCCGTATTTTGCGAATTCGGCAAATATTTAGATGTACTTGTTAACAGTGGCTCCGCTCGATCGAAATGCTACCACTCTGATTATTTTTAGATAAAACCGTTCGAAAAATTCATAAATATGCTGTAATATCTCAGAGTAAAATTTATTTCATCACAATAAAATTGATTGAATATACTTTAGATTGATTATATGATATCGTCACGCTAATAACCGAATTGCGTAAGTCATTTTTGGCGGTTTTGAGTTTTTTATAAAATAGGTATTTATGTAATACTGCGCACCTGTCTGTTAACTCAGATTTTATTTTAAGAATTCCGAAACCCATAAAAATAGAGATTTTGTATGATACGCAAATTTGTTCAATTGTTTCGTCATAATGAATTATCATTGTTAACGCAGGACTATTATGAGGTCACAAAGGCAAAATAACCTCGGCGAAGGATTTTCGAGTTTTTGCATCTCAGATTCTAGCTTAGTGCTCATAAATTTCAGTTTAAACTACAGTATAGGAAGGCGTGCACTTGTGATATTCACTGTCTGAATCCAATTCACCTTGGTTGGCTTTTATATAAGGGTACATTGCTGTTTTATTCTTTATATTCAACTTTAGTCTTATTTCGGTGGATGTGCAGAGCGTGTTTTTTTGAAATATATATTTTAAAACATAAAAAATAATGTAATTGAAACAGATTAGCTATTTTGGGGATTAGACATCGTATATACTAAGAAATACATTCATTTTTGGATTGTTTTGTTTTCAGGTCTGGTACATATAGTCAAGTTGCCAAATTGCGTATGTCCCCTAGTCATAGACACATTTCTGCCTAAGTCACAGTGCGCCATTATGACGTCACTTGACTGCGTCATACAAATTAACTTGAATCCGTCTACGATCGAAAAATTGAACTATGGCAAATTATTGATTCTCAATGGCATAGCAATATCATTAGGAAGTTTTTTACGTTTTTCTCAAAACTGCTAAAAATGACTTACGCAATTCGGTTATTAGCGTGACGATATACAACCTCACAACCCGGGAAAAAGTCGCGTTTCAAACCTTGTATCGTGTTAACACGAAAATATCGACGGCAATTTAAAGTAATAGATAATCAGGCAAATCCCGCCCTCAATTAGTGACGATATGTTTCTAAACGCCGACCAAACAATGTGTGCCAGAGGCACACGAAATTTTGCGATTTTCACTGCCTAGAAAAGCGTTTTTTAAATTTTCGCGGGCCTCGATAAAACTTATATTGTTTACGATTTTATTTTCAGTATTTTAGATTGCCGCTTTTCAATCAAAAAGTTGCGTTGTCTTTGGAACTCGCCGCCAATGAACGTATTTACCAGATTCACAATTCCGTGCGCGTACAAAAATAAAATAAATGTTATCGTTATCGTGGAACAAATTTGTGGAAAATTTTCGTTTTAGAGAAAATAACACAATCGTAAAGGCGTTTACGGGCCTAAATAACACGTTACGCTGATGAGTGATGAAAACAATCACGCGCAAGTTTCTATCGAGAATGTTTTCATTCAACGAAAACGTCTTGAAAGCGGCGTCGAAAATGTGTGACGTCACACAAATATCCGATATTCTTATGAACGTGAATTCCGATATTCGAATGACGAGATATTCGAATACTTTATTCGAATTGGCCATCCCTGCCCATAATGTATGGATCAGGTAGTGGTTAATTGCCTACACTGGGACTAGTACCGCTATTAATTTAAAAACGCGATATGCCTTACGTATGATTAAAAAAAATCAATCAATTTTATTGTGGTCATTCTGAGATAAAACTATAAGCTGACGAACAAAAAGCAGAGGGCCCGGACTCCGGAGTATGACCTAATGATAAGCTTACCATACGTCCCGCTTTGGGCGGAACAGTCCCGCTTTTCAACGTCTTGTCCAGGTGTCCCGACAGGTCAGCCAAATGTCAAACGCTTTGGCGTTCAACCAGTCAGCATGATACACGAACAATACCAATTAGAATGTACTTGATACTGTTGTTGCTGTGTAGCGTACCGTTAGCTTTCTTACTGAAGGTGGATGCGTGGCTTTATTTGTTTCTTTGTTTTGTTAGCGGATAAATGCTACATTTTGTTACGTGTAAGTCCCGTACACCGAAAGAGGGCTTAACGTAAATTTATTTCTATCTTTCGAACTGAAACCGATATTTAGACAGAAAGCGCATGAACCTTCGATTTCAGTATGGTCGATGCAGACAATCGGGATGGTTTTAAATGTAGGCCCCGACGTAAAATTTAGAGGTGCAAAAACCACAGCTATTGTCTTTGGAGGCGTCCCGCTTTGAGATCACGAAAATATGGCCACCCAGACTAAGGACAAAATTAAAAACGTACAAGTACGCGCTCGTTCACCAAATACAGTTGAAGAACATAATAAAATAAACAGACAAGATATAAAATCTAGCAATACCTTTGAAATGCAAAACAATGAAAACTTCAGCAGATTGTGCGAGTGAAATTTATTGACAGCACTCTTCATGGTCCGCGCATTACAGTAGGTTGAATATGCGATGGCTGGGATAGATAGTTAGTTCATTTTGAAAACTCTATAATGCACACGAATGAAAAATGCTGGAGAGCGAGAAAAACCTTTAAAAAGTTTAAAACATGAGATGGGTCGCTTCAATGTGTCTCAAAGTCCTGCTATTGTTAGCATTTAATGTTTGACTTCTTTCTTAGTATGATTTAATGTTAGACTCACTCCCTCATAGGTGACGCTGATCGATAATTATCCCTGGTTTATCGCGTCCATTTTCACACTGAAATGCATTTTTTTTTCTCTCTTGATTATGTTTGTCCAAGGTCTACTTTAGGTTTGTGATAAAATGAACTACTGACTAACTGAGAAATATCATGTGCCCGCTCGCGAGCACACACTCACCAGAATCACAAACCTTGTTAAACGGGGCTTGGGCCAGAAATGAACAGACAAAAGACACACGAATGTAGTTGAGCAGTATATGCGCGCGTGACAAGAGAATCGGAGTTTAAAAATATACTTGCAACAATCATATGCAATGCTCGTGAGAAAAGGTGATCAAACAGTTGTATATGGCCATATCGTTATCACCCAGTAATCTACCGAAAACTATATTATGTGTTGTTTTGTCAGCGCTCCGGGAGTATTTGTACCAAGATGACGCATAAGGTTGTGCGCCATCTTGGTACACATACTTCGGAAGCATCGTTTTGTTAATATTTGTGTCAAACAAAAATTAAGCCACAATCCCGTCACAGCGAAAAATAAGACGATTTTTCGCAATAATAATCCTAACAACAAGAACAGCGTAATGATAACAATACGACCCGCAAGTCCTCTTCGTGCTCCCCACTTCACTCATGGTGTGTTGAATTGGATACGCAATGCCGAGCCGGAAGGATTTTGATCCTTCATTTGAGGTGAATTTAGGGGGGTGGGCTGACTCTGATGACCTTATGGTCGTATCGCCCTCTTCAATCTATACCGAATTAGCTTTGGGAATTTTGTATATATATTATTGTACCATTGCTTGATTTCTGGTTGACAAAACAATAAATTTCCCTCTCTCTCTTCCAAATAAAATATATTTCTTACATATCGTGAGATATCAGTGGCGACTTCTACAGAACCTCGTTCGGAGCGAAAGGCGCTTGGAAGTTAAAAAAGAATTGCAGCAGTAGAAATAAAGAGATAAGTATGACATACATACGCCCGGGCGGCATTCTTATCATTAAACTGAGATACTCATTGAATTAGGGTAAGATTTACATATTTATCCCGGGGAAGAGGAAAGCCGATTAGAGAGCTTAATCATATGGCAAACCACGGCCCCTGGTCCGGTTACTAGTCCTTGTCGGGTATGGGATTAGTTATCCGGTTATTTGTTTCGGAAGCATGGACTTAAAGGTGCTGTAGCAAGCGTATTCGTTTAGTGCGATACTCAACACCGTCAAGACTTTCCTAATCCTGTATTTTATCATAAGAAAGCAATGCTCAAACATATCTGTATATGGACACGAAAACCAAAACGAAGTAGGATCAAATCTTTTACAGTCTGACCATCGCTGAGATGCGATCATAGATCCATTATAAAATGTTCTATTGGACCAATGAGGTTAGTTGCGTGAATAAGTTAGCGTTTGTGCAAGCCCCCGGTCATGCAGAGGTCTTCACACCTATCCGTAATGCCGAGCTTTTAATAAAACTTTCAAATAATGAAAATATACCTCAGTGATTCACACAAGTAATCAAGTGCCAAGTACGGGCGATGATATGCTGTTAAAGCTATATGTAAATTGGTCCAGTTGATATATAGATGCTGCTATAACGAGAGAGATCAATCGGAAAACAGAAACATACATGGAATATAGGCAGTGATGAGCCGGAAAAATCGTATAGGATAGGATAGGATTTACATATTTATCCCGGGGGAGAGGAAAGCCGATAAGACGGCTTATCCATATGGCGAACCACGGCCTCTCGTCCGGTTACCATTCCAAGTCGGGTATGGGATTAGTTGTATTGTTTGTTTTCGGAAGCATGGACTTGGTGGTGGAGGAAGCCGTAACCGACCAGCGGTTACGTGAACCACCCAACGACGGCGAGGAGTCCAGCAATCCTCTCGCACATAACCATCCATGCATGGGATTCGAACCTGCGAACCCACGCAGAGTAATTAGAGGTGCGGTGGCGAGCGTATTCCTAACGCTTAGCCCGTTGAGCCACACCGCCGCGCCTATAAACCGGAACGCACCTAATTCGCAAAAATGTAATATATTCACAACACGTCGCGGACGTTTACAGAATGCAATGAACTGCAAAAAAATTATATGAAATATGTTTATGTAAAATTATGAGAGTATTCTTAGCAATTCAATACAAATCTCATTATTAGGAAGGTATAGAATGAATATTCTTGGGGTCAAAGGTCGGGTAAACATCCATTACACGTTACTGCTGTACTAATTATTTGCGTGACGTGCCGAAAAAAGACTTAATATGATGTAACAAAACATGAATTAAATAACCAAGTTTACCAGAGAAACTAGACCCTTTGTATTACAAATTTAATTTCAACAACAGGAACGCAAATGCAGTAAAATGTCCAACAACGGGCGTTTCTGTCTTTTGAGGTTGGGGCATCGTTCTAAGACTAAGTGTTAAGAGGACGCTTGTTATTGTACTTCAGATTATCCTGTACGTGTTCTGAGTTTTTATTTCCGCTGCGGATAAATATGTGCGATCGGAATGCTGAACTCCTTGTCATCGTAAGGCGTTTACGGCTATCAAGTCCACGAGTCTGAAACAAATACCTGGCTAATTATTCTGATTCTCAGCACCGACTGGTATCCTAAAGAGTTGCAGCGGTTCGTCATATGATTAGGCCGTTATAGCGCTTCTCCTTTTACCCATGATAAATATGAAAATCCCATCCTGGGTCACGAGCGTCAAATCACACGTATAGTCACGTGATTCTACGTAATTTACGTCACACAATAAACATACACGTCACTTTCACTGCTATGATGGTCAGAGGTTTATATCGTCAGATAGAAAAAATATTAGTTCTTTTTGATAATTAGAGTACCTACCGTACGTACCGGTAGCTGTATATTTAATGATGTTAATGAATTTCATTCCTATATGGCGAATTGTTTTGATATTGCAGTACCGTAAAAGTATCTGAAACGACCATAGGCGGCGGCAGAACTGGTCAGGTTCGGTACCGGTACCGTTAAAGTGCAGAAGTCAGGAAGTGTCTAACTTCGGACAGTTCCAGCATTAAATGCACAATTACTCTGATCATATATACAAATCGCTTCATACCTAAATGTTAGGACATTGAGGGTGCGTTCTAATAAATGTTTTTCTCTACTGTCTGACTGTTCACTTGTTTAGAGAATCCAACAATTTCAATTCAGAATTTGGCAATGGCAACCATTACCAGTCTGCCAGTAATAAAAAATTAATATGGTGTGGCAAGTAATATTTATTTTGTTATTTTTGTTTTCTACTGGTTACGGTACCATACCGGTATGTACCGTGCCATTAATCTTTGGCAAAACTTTCCATCTTATATCAGTATATTATGTACGGTACATTTCAAAACTCATATAACTGTATAAGGTCAGAAGGTTTTGTTTGCTCTTCTTTATCGAAATCTTATCGCAGTGTTTACTGCTGTACTGCTATGCTGATCGCTGACATTAGATTAAAAATAAACTTATGAACTTATACGAATTTCATACCAGTCGTCTTATTGCAGCATTGGCTTTCCTTTTCTTCAGAGTAAATATGTAGGCTATATACTATCCTAACGTATAGTGAGAGGGAGAGATTTATTATTTGTCAACCAGAAAAAACATAAATACATTGATAATAATAATAAATATAAAGCAATACGAATAACCAACATACGAATAACCAACATAGTGGTATGGTTTGTTATCTATTTATAGTACATTATGGCAAATTCTGTCACTGATTGTACTTTGTCAGCCCCAATTTAATATCTCTAGCAGATGTAATATGACTTTTATGCTACTACTGTTCTAATCCATCTCATACTGCTGTACTTCCATATTTCTTGATTCAAGTCTCGTTTAGTTTCGTTTCGTAGCACAACAACACTTTACAGCTTTATGAAGAAACAGTTTCGCTTGGCCCACAAGATATTATGGTCGGACAAACTTTACCCTCATATTCCTGGTAGCGAGGAAGTCAGAATGTTGGTTGGTTATAATTCCATGATTCAACTCTGAAATGGAAAGTTTTTTACAGATTATAATAAGTTAAAACCTTCATTTATTATTCGAGTAAGATATAAAAATAACTCTTCCTATACGTCTGATATTTGGGATAAACCACTGGTTTGGATATACAATGGCGGATACTTCCAGCCAGGCGACACCTGTGACGGATCAAGTGGTCACGGTAAGTATTCGTCTCTTATTGTGGAAAAACTTGTTTTTTGCTTCGAGTCTGATTTAATAGTATCTTATTGTGTTTTTCATTGATATTCATGTGTCAAGCCCATCATCCATGTATCTGAAAACAACTAATCCCATATCCGACATAGTTCATTTCCCCCTGGGGTAAGTATTTGAATCCTATCCTATAAGCACAATGATCGCAAGCTTGAAGCTCGATTAAAAATATTTTATCATGTTTTTTTCACAAATATTCATGTATTATTACAATTCCCCCAATTGGGAAAAATGCTAGGCTATGGACCTTTCCCCGACCTTTGACCCCCGAAAAATTCTTCCCATACTTTACCATTGCAAAATTTTTGTAGGTATTCCAGGAGTGCTTTTTCGGGTTGGCGCCTGTAAAATGGGTTATGTGTTTCAAACCATCATTATGATTCATCGCATACAACAATCTGTTTTTTAAAAGTACCGGTAAGGACTTTAGTCTAGTCTATCACAGCTATTTCTACACTAATTTTTTATTACTGTGATTAAATTAAATCTCCTAGGACGACAGATTGATCATTGGATTATCTGATTTATATTTAAGTTTTTGAAACACACTGAAACTAACGAAAAAAGTTCAAAAACGTGAAAACGAGGTAATGTTTACGACCACGCTTGAAAACCTGTCTGAGTGAGAAAAGTGTCTGAGCGGAGGTGAAAAGGGGTCATTGTTACGTCACTTTTAGCATTTTGCTGATTGGCCAATGTCACAAAGTAAACAAGGAAGTCGATGCTCGGGGAAAGGTCCATTGCGCAATCTCTTTCACCTATCAACCAGAGCTAATTGCTTTGAGTCAATCATCTTGATGTCGCCTCATTGCATATTGGTCATTATCATAGCTTTTTGCACTTAAGTGGCATTTGCAACTTGTCGTGACTCTATTTTGTTTTGGCTGTAAAGTGTAAATGCCAAGACTCAGCTGTTAGCATCGTGCAATAGGATTACGACTAGTTACTCTGTGTGTTTCCAGATTGTAATCATCTGAGAAATACCATAGTGCAAGGGGATTGCTGGACTGTGGTTCATGTAACAGCTGGTCAGTTACGGCTTCCTCCACCATCAATTCCATGCTTCCGAAAACAAATACCAAATCCGTCATGGACTGGGATTATAGTTCGTGGTTTGCTATAGCAGCGGTTCCCAAAAGGTGCGCCGTGACGAGTTGCTAGGTGCGCCGCGAAAGTTTACGGAATTTTGATAAACATAACTGAAAGATGATTGAATATTCTACAAATTGTACTAATTTAAATCTTTAATTGTTTTTTTCTTCCAAATGCTGTCTATATGAATCAATAAGTTCATTTCCTCTTTCTATGTCGTTTATTTTTTGTCTGCCTCTACTGTTACGTATTATTATAGGTAACCACTATTTGCTGGAATTTCGTGATCTGCAGTCCATTTATCTGCTGAATCGAGATTTTTTTAGCATTTCAAATGATATTGCATGGGCCCACATGCGTACAAACTTTAAAAGGCATAAAGTAATATATAATATAATTGAAAGCAGCATATTTTTCGTGTAAGTGCGCCGTGAGTTTTTTCCTTGGTAAAATGGCGCCGCGCGAACAGAAAGTTATGGAACCGCTGTGCTATAGGATTGAGTCTCTGGTATTCCTCTCCCCCAGGATATTTTTGAAATTCATTCCTTTTGACCTCAGAGAAAAATAAGGCCACTCAATTTCAGTGTTCAGTATAATTCAGACTCTAACTAGATTAAGGAATGGCATTGTTGAGAGAATTGATTAAACATCAATTTGCACTGTGATGTTCATGCCCTTATGTCTCAGCATTACTGTCTTATTAATTCAGACATTCTAAAACAATCTTTTACACAGGAGAACACAACAGCAAATGCAACAGAGGTTGAATTATCGAAGATATTTCTACAGACCGTTGCATGTCAAGCGATATCCGGATTATTCTGTTGGTTGGCTGTGCTTGTCACCGGACATCAGGTATGATTGCCAATATCTGGATCTTGTGTACAACTCAGAGACAAATTATTTCTATTTGTCAATTTGAGACTTTTAATTTTATTGCCGTAATCACTTCCAAGCATTCTTGTGCCAATGGCCACATACGGATCTGAAGTAGAAAGTAAACAATGATAATATCGGTCGGAGACCGAAGACTTATCAATCGAAAGTTAGGGGATCCCCCGTAACAGAAATTGCGGTTTCGATTCATTCGCTCTTACTTCATAGTGACATTGCGTGTCCCTTCACTAATTAATTTATAACTCGCTAATTTTACGACATAATTCATCCAAAATCAATAGGCTCCTAATCCGAGATATGATAAATGCACATGCAAAATTTGGAGCAGATTCAACCTCACCTTTGTGAGATATCGCGTGTATCTAACAGACAGACAAACAAACAAACAGACAAATACCTATCAACATACTTACTGATCTTAAGATCGATAAGTAATAAGAAAGGACTTGTAGTTTGATACACGATAACCCAGTATTCTCTGTAATGAAAAAATTGCTATTTCACGGAAAAAGATTATATTATTCATACACATCACATTAATACCATCTCTACCAAGTGTCTTTGTGGCAACGGCCACATGCAGGTCAAAGGGCAGGAACGTAACAGTAATTCGGTCTGATAGAAATTTACTGAAATAAGTTTTCAGCAAGGCTGTTGTATCGACCGAAATATTTTGTCTCTCATCTGAAACATTTTCTTTTGTTTCAGATATATAAACATCTGAGGTTTTACACAGTTCCAAACGAACAGAGATGGATCGTTCGAATCCTATTCATTGTTCCGATATATAGTTTCGATTCGTGGTTGAGTTTGTTGTTTTTCAATCAGAATCAATACTACATCTATTTTGACACAATACGCAACTGCTATGAAGGTAAGCTTATTGTTTGCTCACAATGTGGTGGGCATGAATCACTAACTTTTTTTTAATCTGGGTTGGAATTTGTATTCTAACTTTAAAAAGGGTGTTTTTTCAAAGGGAAACTTTGTTGTTTTTTCTATTTGCAAGTCATTGGTACCTTTACATATGTAAACTTATATCTGGGATTTCTAGTACATAATAGGTCAGGCACGGGGTCATTGTTTTTTCTATCCCATTTCGGATCCACATTGCTACATTGTGGTTCTTATTATTATAGAAGCGTCAGACTAACTGTTGTATATAATAAGAAACACACTATAATGATCGGTGGCATTATGACGTGATAAACTGTTTTTTTCATATTGAGTTTTTAGCCTCCAGCCTAGTACAAGTCCATTATCTGTAACTGACGCATTCAGAAAACATATCTATACAGAAGTTAGATTGCGAGTGGCACAGAACACTAGTTAATAGGTACTCCCGAAGTATGTGTACCAGGTGGGGGTTGGGCCATAATTTTATTTCTATTTTTTTTTAATTTTAGTTCTATTACGAGTTAGGGGATTGTCCGTGTTAGCCAAGTGAATATATTCCCTGCCCATAGGTTTCAGTCCTTTTACAAAACTTGATGTAAAGTAGGCAAACAAAATTAGTTGCCTTCATATTGGTACACATACTTCTGGAGAGCCAGTTAATAAACTATTGAATATTGAAAAACAAACGAACAGTATAGTGGGAGGAATCATGAGTCTCAAAATAGGCAAGGGGAGGGAAATCCATGAGAAAAGGTTTCAAGCAGCTGTTGTAATATATAGAAATTTATTTTCACTCTCGTGTTCAATAAGTTTAAGACGCATTGACGATGAACGTTTGTTTAATAATTAATGAGTCTCTGATTACTTCAATTTTACTGAGGCCTTTCCAAAAACTAATTTAGTGCTAACTGAATATTTGAATACATTCAAAACCAGTTATAGTAGCTAGGCGAGGTAAATTCTAAATTTGAGAAAGAATTATTTGGCTAAAACAGTATTTGAACTTAGAACTTCATCATTTTCGACAAACCACGTTTGACTACATCTACACTTATGGGTTATAATGGAGATTTATATTTCATATTGAATTTCTCAAAATTTCCAAAGATTTCTCAATTATTTACTTTCATAAAAATGGAGTAAATTATTCAAATTTGTTGTGCGTGCCTTGGTTCTGTGACTGTATTTTAGCGACCTCATGTTCACCCCGGTAATAGATTTGATGCTACTTCGTTTTGGCCTTCGTGTCCATATATTTGAGTATTACACTCTTGCTAAACCATTCGAAGGTGCCAATTACTGTGAAACATTGTCTAATATTAATCTCAACAGCATTTCACACCTTTATTGATTACTCGGTTAATTCCTGTTCATCAGCCATTCATCCCAGGGGAAAAGTATTGATGTTCCAACTAATTGAAATACCTAACTTCCAATCTTGGTGTTTCGAGAGTTTTGTCGCACACTAACACAAATATAAATAAGCAGAAAATGAATAATTTTAGCAATTGAGTTCTCACTGTATGATAGCAAATGCTTTCATATAATTTCTAAAGATATCATTTTTCATCTTTTCTGGATTTCAAAATTCAAACCCATTGTTTTCTTTGGTAAAATCTGGTCCAGATTAGAAAATGAATTCGAAAAATTTTTCAGAATGTATTTTTAGTTATATAAAGCTGCTGAAATATAATTCCATTATGGGCCACCTCTTCTTACTCTTATATTTTCAAAAGCCTAGTGTTGTATTCTGGCTCAGCCTGAGTTGACACGCCCACCTTTGTAAACGGCCACACCCACCTTTGTAAACAAGGATATGAGTTAGTTTTGTTTGCTTTGCATGAACAGTGAGCTTATAATGAGTTCATAATAGGTTCATCATTCTGGCCTCTGAAGAATTTATTGAAGCAAAATGAGCTTTTTATGAAATTTTGCTTTATTTTAACTTTTAATGAGGCATATAGGCCAGTGGTTGTCAAACTTTAAGCCTATAAACAATTGCCTCATTAAAATCTGAGGGGGGGCACAGGGCTGTCGGAGGGGGCCACAGTGCTAGGCGAAAAGCAGATTTCACTTTTCTCTTTACATGAAAACTTTCCGTTCTTCCCAGTTTCATTGCTTAATGAGGTTATTTCACAGGGTGTTTTTACTTCATTGCTTAATGAAGTTATTTCACATAATGGGATTTGGAATCTACCAATCAAAATAACACTATAAACACAACTGGAATGTTATACAGGGGGCATGAGTGCTAAAAGCCTCTGGAAGGGGGCCATGAGCCATAAAAGGTTGGGAACCACTACGCTGCCTATGCCATCATGCCATAGAAAAGATTCGAATGTTTTAAGTCTCTTCGGTTCAGATAACACAGCTGTTCGGTATACGGACTGTTCTTCCCACTGACTTTTCGAATTTTGTTTTACATTTGCCTTGGGAGTTGTTTAAAATTAATAATTAGTAACTACCAGTATGTGTTGATTATGAGAATAGATATTCAGTTATTTGTTTCAGATGCATGGACATGAGCCAGATATATCCGGCCATCTTTGATAGTAGTGTTTTCTATTAGCTCAGTGGTTCTCAACCCTTTTTTTTTCTGTTGTGCCCCACTTTTGTTGCACAAAAAATTCCGTGACCCATACCATTCTCATGCTAAGAAAAAAAATTGAGAAAATAAAAAAATAAAAAATTGAAAAGATACTTTAATAAATAAATAAAAAGCAGCGGCATTATTTATTTCATTCAAGTTCAACTAATTTATTATTGACTCTGGCAATTATCAATAGTTTTGTGGCCCACTTGAAAACGTTTCCGTGGCCCAGATGTGGGCCATGGCTCACTGGTTATTAAGAACCAATTGAATTGGATAATACCAGTAGTTTTTGGTGGAGCAAACAGAAACATTCCAGAGACTTGAAAACCCCCTCAAGCTATCAATATTCATAAAAGCGGACCTAATATTGGCAAAACAAAATGATCTTTAAAACGCAGCCAGTCGAGTCTAATACTCAAAAAAGTTGCTGAATTAATTAAGGGGTTGGATTATATGCACAAAACTCTGATCGCACTGAAGAATTGACTTATATGTGAATAACTCTTATTGCACTTGAACGAAATGACCGTGATTCAAACAACAACTCGAACCAAGTTCTCACGATAAGAGCATGCATGCACACACATGCGGCTGGTATGCAAGGACATACAGTAATTGAGTATTTGACTCTATTTAACAATATAAATATGTAGACATCCGGATTTGAATCTTGCGAAACCCCTGGACTGTAAGCGTGGAACACGAATTGAAAGTATTGTATCAGGCTATTTGAGCTTTGTTCCCGCAATTAAAAAATATTGACAACGTTCTATTGAACATTTCATGCTTGACTGCATATTTTTCACGCTAGACACGGAATGTTTTTAAACTCAGTGAATTGTGAACAACAATATTTTATCCTTTTTGTCGAGTGGTTGCCACCCCTGGGTGTTTCAAAATGAATTTGAAAAAGTTTAATTTCGTAAATAACTGAATTTTAGGACAATTTTAATTTAAAAGATTTTGTTTCTGTGTGGCCAACTACTTATAATGGGGGCCTGACATATGAAATGTTGCAGAAATATATTTGTGTTAGTTTGAAACAAGACTGTTGAATCACGTAGATCCCGTTCACTGCCAAGTTTTTACGCAGTGATACTTCCCACGTATATAATTACTATTTTGATACCAAATATATTTAACCAAACACTAAATAAAAAATAAAGATCATCAATTTTTGTTGAAAAAAACAAATGACAAATGTATTTACCAATATGAGGAAAATCATTTTGTTTGTCTACTTTACATCAAGTTGTGTAAAGGGACTGAAACCTATGAACAGGGGTTATATTCACTTGGCTAACACAGCCAGTCCCCGAACTCGTAATAGAACTAAAATAAGGAAAATCGGAATAAAATTATGGTCTGACCCTAACCTGGTACACATACTACGGAAGTATCTATAACTTTTTTTGGGAAACTTAAGGTTGGGAAACCTTGATCTACAGTACAGCCCTCATAAAAGTAACAGATTCATAGCATTGATATTTGCTGAACTTTTGTTTTTTCAGCTTTTGTGATTTACAATTTCTTGAGTCTCTGCTATGAAGGATATCTGGGAGGTGAGAGCATCATTATGTCTGAAATCATCGGGAAACCTGTGAAGTAAGTAGAGGATGCTTACGGCCAGTATATACTGCACATTCAGGGCTGAGTTTGGCTTTTACCATGTACGAACCGTAATCGTTCGTCCTTAGTCAAAAAAAAAAAATTGTTATACTGGCAGAACCAAAATTCCAATTTTTTCATAGCCTTTTTAGTCCAATGGTTCCCAAAGTTGATTGATTGGGGGCCAAAATTACCTGAATGTATATTTAAGATACCAGTATAATTGAATTGTAATGATTATACACATGCTCAAACTGGGGTAATGACGCAACAATTGGCGGTATCTAGAATGTAAAAAGGTGAAAACATGGATAATATACTATTTCACTTAAGTACGGCGGGCCATATTAAATCGTAACGTGGACCGCGGTATGGGAGACACTGTCTTAGTCAATGCTGAAATTTTCATCACAAACCTGAAAGTATGTTACTAAGCATTCTCATCAGACAATTGAAGAAAATTTAGAAAGTTAATGTTGTAAAAATTCATTTTTTTAAATTTATTTCGAGCTGGAATCGTAATTCAAATTTATATTAACACAAAAGACAGTTATGAGTTAGAAATGTTCCCATTGAAACCAGACTTGTCACAATGACTAGTACTGTGACGTCAAAAAGAATGAGTAGTCGTAAAGACTTTGAACCTTCAAGAGGCGTGCCCCACCGTTTGAGAACCACTGATTTAAACGTTGAAAATCGCACTGAGTTGAGTTTGAATCCTTTTGAGTCATTGGTGAATGGTCGATGCAAGGACGACACAGAGTTTAATTATCTTTGTTTGTTTCAGAATGAGTTGGATCTGGTGCACGTGTTGTCTGCAGGGAAAAACTTACTCTATAAGTTCATTGAGGTTTTGCAAACAGGTTTGTGAAATGTGTTCTTTGTCATTCGGGGTTTACTAATTAGTTTATGTAGCTTTTGGCATTCCAGTGATTGTCTGTAACTTTGCTTGTGTCTCCTTAACTCTGAGTAAGTGCCCATAACCTTACTCTAAGATGAGTCTCCTTTACTTTTTGAGTGAGTGCCTGCATCACAATAATTCTATATAAATTGGGTAGCTCTTAGAAGCTCATAACTATGCTCAGATATGAGTATCTTTTACTCCTATACGTGCCCTTACGTACCCCTTCTCAGAAATAGAGGAGACTCATCTCTGGGAGAAAATAGATGCTCACACAGAATCACAGGGGACTCATATCCAAACGATGAAGGGGCGACTACTGAAGTGCCAAGAACTACTGAAAGAATTTGCACTATCTCAGAAGTAAATAAGACTCATCTCAGGGCAAAGTTATTCGCAATCACTCAGAAGTAAACGAGACTTATCTCTGAGCAAAGTTACGGGCACTCACTCAGAAGTAAAGGAGACTTATCTCGGAGCAAAGTTACGGGCACTCACTCAGAAGTAAATGAGACTCATCTCTGAGCAAAGTTACGGGCACTCTCTCAGAAGTAACGGAGACTCATCGCTGAGAAAAGCTATAGGCACTCACTCAGAAGTAACGAAGTCGCATCTCTGAGCAAAGTTACGTGCACTCACTCAGAAGTAACGGAGACTCATCGCTGAGAAAAGTTACGGGCACTCACTCAGAAATAAAGAAGACTCATCTCAGAGTAAAGTTACGGGCTCTCACTCCAAAGTAAATGCCTCTGGGCAAAGTTTATGGGTAACCAGAGTTATGATTTTCCCTCACTCAGAAGTGAAGCCTAATCAACCACACTTCTTGTTTGTCATATTTCTGCAGTGAACACACTTATACATTTTTACAGGGAACACTGCAGTTCTGCATAATCCGTCCCCTCATGGCCGTTATTACTGTCATTCTGCAGGCAAAGGGTCTCTACAAGGACGGGAACTTCAGGTAAGCTATGCCAATTTTAATTCAGGAGTCAAAGTTATATTGAGAACTGACTTCATAACAAAATTGTAATTGTAAAGTGAATTTATCGATACCATCGATGTTTTGGCCCCTACAGAAGTATTACATGTAGTAAAAATACTCGAACAATTGTTGATTAAAAAACAACAAACCTGGTTACGATATATTGCAAACTGACTTCATACAAAATTGTAATTGTAAAGGGTCACCCTGTATAACTTTCACTCTTTTAACACGTAACCACAGCTAAGCATAGAGCTATATTTTGAAGATTCTTTGATTCAAGAGTCGTCGTCCTTATTTATAGCTGCCAGAACATTGTTCATGTGTTGCCATTATGAATATATTTTACTACCAGAGAAAAATGTGTGCTGATCGAAATTCAGGTGGATTTTCCCTGATCTTGCGTTGTTGTGATGTAACAATGTGAAATTTACAGCTTTGCAGCCAAATTGTGGAATCTTAAAAGACAATGTGCTGTTTGCCTGTCTAAAATCGCCCCTTTAATTGAGACACTTATTCGCAATAAACATTGACAGCCTTCACACTAATGTTTTGTATAAATGAAATAATACTTTTATTAAAATCCTTTACAATTTAAAAATTGTTAGTCAATATATTACAACTTTGTTTGGCATCCATTTACTGGGGTTTCGGGATGTTTCATAACTCGGTGGTCCTTAACAGGAAAAAGGTTGGGAACCCCTGCCATAGAGCAAGGAAAGTTAGTTAATCTTGCTTAACCGCAACTGAAAATTTTCTGAAAAACTTGAAAATTTCTTGCCTGTTTTCTCATTATTTTCTCCCCTATTTGCACAATGCGCCTATCGCTGGGGTTAGTATAGTTTTTAAAATAAGGGGGGAGTGCCTTTTTTTATATTTTCTACTGTCCCTAACCCACGTACTATTTTTTCAGCCCAGACAGCGGTTACCTTTACATCACAATCATCTATAACATATCAATCTCTATCGCCCTCTATGCTCTCGGATATTTCTATCTCGCCACGAAAGATTTACTGAAACCTTACGACCCCGTGCTCAAGTTCATTGTCGTCAAATCTGTCATTTTTCTCTCGTTTTGGCAAGGTAAGAAGTGCAGAATTAATTACGTTTACTGAGAATTTGATTTTCACACAGTTGTGGGTTGATTTGAGCCTTGAGTTCACTTAGCGCTCTTAACACTCGGGACAAGGGAATCAGGGGCCAATGTATGGGGTGGGGTGTCCAACCTAGACTCCTCCCCTTTTGAAATTTTCACAACACAAGAGAATTCGCTAATACTGTGTTCACGTGTTAAAACGCCCATTGTGTTATCAGTGTGACGTCAGTATTCTGGCCGTGAGCATCGATATTGTATCGATAAACTATATTCCTGTGAAAACTCCCTCCATCTTGTGCCACTACGCCATGAGGACATTGATACTTGGTTTTTCTCTCCCGGAACTGTGTGTTCAGCTTAAGAAACTCTTTAAATGGTCATTGGTGACGAGTAGGTAAAAATAATCAAAGGAGTGGATCCACAAGTTATTTTGCGAGTGAAAATAAGGGAGTGAATATTGAAATTGAAAAACTATCAAAAAATAATACAAAAAAACACCATAAATCCTGGATTAGGAGCATCACAACAGGAAAAAAAAATATTTCAGACATTGTAACTTGCCCCGTGACGACTGTTTCAAAAGCTGTTGTATGGTGAAATTCTGATTTTAAAACCCCCAACCCTCTTGAATATTGTGTATGCACCTCCGGTCAGATTAAAAATTCTCTACAATTTGCATACAGGAGTTGAGAGCTATAACTCTCTTTAATTTTCTTCCATTGTAAATATCCCCATTTCCACAAGCCTGCTGTGAATAAGTCTTTCAAATGCATGCTTTTCTGAGTCAGGGTGTTGAACCTTCAATAAAGGAGAGCCAGATTCAAATAACTGAGTGAAAGCTCTATAGGCTTTGCAACAGAAAGAATTTGGGATTACTAGCACATAGTCATACCAGATTGAACCAAAATACTCTTAAATTGAAAACTGCGTGGCGCACACTATTAAAAATTTTTCCTTGTGGGCCGCATTTGGTCCGTGGGCCGCAGGTTAGTCACCCCTGATTTACGTAACAATCAATTTTGTTATATTTATTCAACGCAGGAGTTCTTCTCAGTATCTTGGAAAGCACTGGAGCCATCACTGCTGTAACAATGGGAGGTGAACAAGCACCGTTGGATACAGGAACAGTATCGGCTGGATATCAGAACTTTCTTATTTGCATTGAAATGTTCTTTGCTGCAATCGCTTTGAGATATGCGTTCCCGTACCAGATATACAGAGAGAAGCACACAGATAGAGGTAAGTGACAAGACCAGCTGAAATTGAGCGATTCAGGTTGTGCGTCATCTTGGTGCACATACTTCGGGAGCGCCCAAATTAATCATGTATGACAGGGGTGTGCAAGCTTCAATACAAATAACTGGGTGTAACCGCCGGGCGCACTTTCATTTAACATAGGCTATCTAGTTATGACATGCGTTTTTCGCATAAGCTAACTGTTAGGCCATTTTAAAGTCATACATATCGATTTAACTTTGGTATATGCAAAGGGATTAGAATTACTCGCTCATACCAGATTAAACTATTCTAAAAACTTAAGGGCCGCACAATTTTCCTTCAAAGATCATCTTTGGCCCAGGCTGCAGGTTGCACACCACTGATGTATAAGATTAGCCGATTTGTTCAAGCTTCATGCAAAATTTTTTTCGATTCGTTACTTTTATAACTCAAAGCAGTAGTTTTTTCGAAATATTTCCTCGTTTGCCTATTTTGGAACTCTTTATTCCTCACTATGCATAGAAACTCTTTCTGCATTATTTGTTCGATCAATAATAAAAATAATATTTCTGTATTTCCCAAAACCCCTGAAGCGTACCCTTGAGAAACTATATCGCATCGATTTGCTTAACATACACTGAACTCACACACGTACAGTTATAAATAACACATACATCTTCCAATCGAAGAATAATTTTTGAGCAAGCTTCTTACTGGCACTCAAAATCTGGCATGTTAGCCTTGTTTTATTACTGGTGAAAAACTCGCAAAAACAGGCAAAACACTCACTGGAATATGCAAAAAGTGAATTTTTTTTACCCAGTACACCACTTTTTCCTACTTGAGCTTTTATCTCACCCTGGGTTGTTCTACACCAAGTTGAGAAGAATTGATTAAAATCGACTCACAATAAACCAGAGATAACGAATAAATTTCTATTCTAATATGTATCGAAAGATATCTTTCTAATCCAAAGCTTGAAATTAAATTTTAGGCTCTCTTCGCCTACTTTATACCAAGTTGTGTAAAAGGACTGGAACCTATGGGCAGGGAAAATATTCACTTGGCTAACACAGACAGTCCCCAACTCATGATAAAACTGAAATAAGGAAAATCGGAATAAATTATGGCCTAATCCTAACCTGATACATATACTAAAGGAGTACCAATTTTTATATCTGGAGCAAACTTTCTTGCTTGTAAAATTTATCCCTAATGCAGGTCACATTTATTTGAGAAGTCTGTCTGCAATTAAAATTTTTAAACAAGCGTATTTAGAGTTTATTTATGTAGGAATTTGTTTTTTAGTTTTATATTTTCTTGGCCATTTAACAAAGTCAATAATGGAGTCATTAGAGAGTAGAATAATTTTTGAATTTTTTGAAAGATATTACTTGAATGTTTTACTGTTTTTTTTTACGCTACTCAACCTCAAATTTATCTGTTTTGTTTCCCTTAAATACTAAAACAACGACTTTTTGAAACACTCAATCTCTTAGTAACAATTTTATTACATTTAGAATTTATTTTAGTAATTAATTCGTTTTTTGGCATCTGTAATTTTTTTGTTAAATACAGATTTCTATTAGAGTTGGTATCTGCTTTAAAACGAAAATTTGAATATTTTTTATGTTCATCTGATTTGAATTGAAAGGAAATGATTAGCGTAATCCTTCAATTATCACTTAATAATCAGATTTTAAAACATAGTGTGCAGTAATAATTGCTGTAGTAATTACTGAGGATTATCCTTACTACGAAACCTCTGACCTTGGACGTGTTGATTGCAAAAAAACTCTTTCATGAATTCTTTTCATTAAAATTTGGCTATTTTGCCCACTTTATATGCTTAATCAATCCATTTGCATAAAGTTTATATCTATCCTAACCCAGAACATACCATGAATTCCACTTCATATGCTTACTCTAACCATTTGCATAAAGTTTATATCTTTCCTAACCCAGAACATACCATGACTCCCCATTTATATTATTGCTGTAAGTGGCGGACACAGGATTCAAACTCAGAAAGTAAATTACTGATTATTTTGACGGAATTTATGACGTCACATTGTGACATAACATCTGCATCATTATTTTACAAATTTCTACGCATGATTGCATTTCTTATTTGAATGTTTCATGTCAATTTTATTGATTTAAATTCGAACTTTCCGAGAAAAATATTCATTTTTCTTCAAATTTTAAAACCTTTTCCACCGGGCATGTGAAGCACAAGGACGGTTTTATCCAACTCCAGACAAATTAAAAAACTGATTCCTGACGTCGGCTAAATTTGAACAACAACTAACTATCAAGCTTGTATTCTAGTATAGTAAATTATTTGGTACTCCTGAAGTATGTGAACCAAATTGATTGACACCGGACATATTATGTGTACCAGGTTAGGGTTAGGCCCTAATTTTATTCCAATTTTTCCTATTTCAGTTCTAGTATAAGTTCGGGTACTATCAAAGTGACTCCCGTGATATTTGTATTTGAAATTATGGCCTAACCCTAACCTGGTACACATACTACTTTCCGGTGTCCGCCATCTTGATACACATACTTCGGGAGTACCATTAATCTGACTCGTCTCTCCCAACGGCTAGCCATGCTAAAGAACTATGCATGCCACAACACCAGCGGTTCTCAAACCTTCATGATACCTAGGCCTCTTATAAAGATTCGTACGCTTGCACATTAAAAACGGCGCAATGGCGGTTACGTGAACCACCCTACGACGACGAGGAGTTCAGCAATCCTCTCGCACATAATCAACCCCGCATGGGGTTTGCAAGGTAATCAGTCGTGCTGTGGCAAGCGAAGTCCTAACACTTGGCACGATGAGTCACACCGCCGATAAATGGTCAAAGCTGTGCAATGGTGCCAAAATAGAGATTTATTTAAAAATGTTTGTGGATGAGGATCTGAAAAATGGGGTCGGTTTTTTAAATCTACTGGAGTTGGGCGGACCAATTTAGACTTGATTCAATGTTGTCAATGTGTTTGAATCTCTAGCGCTATCATGTGTACTGCATGCATTTGTGTTGTCCCATCCACAGGAGGAGCTAACACGCAGACGATCTCATCTCGATTGAAAGATACTGTGAATCCTTCAGACATGGTCGATGACGCAATACATAATTTTTCTCCCACCTACCAGAACTACACCCATCTCAAGTAAGAAAGGGGTTAATTGGGAGAAAGGGGTTAATTTTATACTCTTGCGTTTTTTATAAAGTTCGAAGCGAGGTCCTGAGATCTGGCAGCGTACTGATAAAAAAGAAAAGCGGGTTGTACTTGAAATGATTCCAGTCAATACTGACAAGGAAATAGCTAGGTGGGAGAAAATTCCGTTGTTCAAAATGGATTATAAATTTGTTTTTTGTTCAATTTCCAAGATTAAAATTAGACAGGGACAAGGGGGGGGGGGGGATTGTGCATATATAAGGTGCCAATGCTTCACTTCAATTCATTCCATGACCAGGGAGACATTAGTAGGTGATTTGCGGTCCAGTGGTTGGGCCATTGAACTTGACTACATTGGAGAGAAGGTTGGATATCTCCGTATTAAATCCCATCCTCGCAGTCGCATTCCAATGATAAATAGAGTCGCTTGTGACGAGCCTTGTTTTCGAGCGTAAATTTAAAACAACATGGTTCTTGATTCAGTTTGATCTCCAAGTCCACAATTTTATTTTTTGGAAATCTTTTTTAGTAAAACGCTTATCTTGTTTTATGAGATGCAAAGATACGACAAGCTACCATGTTACATCACCAAATCACAGGGACTGTTTAATAGTCCTTCTCGATGCTATGGTCAAGCGAATCGTAGTCAAATCTTTTTCGGCAGCTAAATTTTGGTTTCGGATTTGGTTTTTTAAACCCTCCTTACAAGACTGAACAACCGCTGTACAATCATTTTCTAATGCACAAAGAGCTATCATGCTCATTAAAAGTCCAATCCTTTCTCAATTCAGGGTAACGCATCCCGGTCACAAATTGAACGCCATACGCACCTAGTATATGATAAATTGAGTAGGTGTTATTTATGGTCCCTTTAAAAATAGTACGTGTTGTTAAATATCAGTCGATTCTTGTACATTTGGAACTGGGCGTGTCAAACTTTTCTGCTTCTCGGGCAAGTTTCTGATACTGATGCCCCTTATACCTAACTTGAAAAATAATTCAGGTAATAAAAAAATTATAGATGTTGTTATACATGAGAATGAATAAATCAAAGGTTAAGTAAGAGTGAAACGTTTGTATTATCAATAATTAAACTAAGCAACCAATTTAAGCTTTTGTACGCACGGCCCGGGCAGTTGCCCCTATGGCCCCCTCTAGACAAGCCTCTGATTCGAGATAAGCGCCATGATAACTCAAATCTGAGATTTACAACCAAACGTAATAGGTCGAACCATGCCCACCACTTGGCCGCAACTCACTTGCCTTGCAAAACATTTCATTTGTAATTCAACTTTAATTTTGTCTCATTCTGGGTGTAATCATCATAATTTGCATGGATATAATTTGGGAGTTTAATTTTTTTATTTAATTTATAGGGACGGTGCCCAGCCCAAAGTGTAGGTATCTGCATGTAATAAATAACTATATATACCTGTGTGCTATAGGGGTGAAGATCGTTGAATTAACTAAAGTTATCTTTCTTAAATGCTTCCCCTTCTTGGACATGAAGTGGACCTACTGTTTTGTTGTTGAGAAAAATCGCAAAATTCCACAATCAATTTAGAATTTTCAGTGCTTGAAGGAGTTGCTAGAAAGCTTTTAACTTTTCCCGCGGCACCTGATATTCGCCAAATAATTTGTTGTTTCAAATAAAGCGAACCTAACTTATTTTCTCTTGCTCAAGCTAAGGCCTTACCAGTACCGATATCTTCGTGTCCATATATTCAAGCCTTGCCTTGATATAAAAACAAGCAAACATTTTCCTCTCATGGGAGAAGTACTTATATTACCCCATTGTCATTATATCACTGTTATATTCGATACTTCCGAAGTATGTGAACCAAAATGGCAGACACCGGAACGTAGTGTGTGTACCAGCTCAGGGTTAGGCCATAATTTTAGGTACAAATAGTACGGGAGTCACATGTCTAGTCCCCGAACTAGTAATGGAACTAAAATAAGGAAAATTGGAATAAAATTATGGTCTACCCCTATCCTGGTACACATACTATGCTTCGTTGTCTGCCATCTTGGTTCACATACTACAGGAGTACCCAATAATCATCTCAAACTTACAACCATTTTTCATTCTTTCAGTGAACCAGCTGACGATCGTGAAAAACAGCCTTAAATTTGGTAATTTATGATGCAATAATGGACCTTCCTTCAATGTCAAATCATTAGAAACTCACGACATTCGCAATATATTTGTGGAAAACAATTTTTCTAACTCATATTGATAATATAGGACTTTAGACCAAACTTGGAACGAGCATATGATTTGGCTCAAGTCATGCAAGCTGTCAAATGAGAGTAGCAGCCTAAATTTTAATCAGTCTCGTGAAATTGCCCAAAATTTTTTAAAACATGTTATCATAATACAAAAACTGACATCATGGTAGAAAAACTGAGATGTTTAATAATAGAGGAGATCTTAAATAATAAAGGTGATGTCATAGTAGAAAAAACTGACATCATAATAGCAATAAATGCTTTTCGAATACGATCTTTAATGAATTGTATAAATTGATATAATCTAATGATTTGACAATCCTGTGCGGGCCGTTATTGCTTTAGTTCAGTGGTTCTCAAACGTTGAGGCGCGCCTCACAAGAGGACATAGACAAATTTTTTGTGCGTTTCGGTTTAATTTGATCTTGCCTGCCTTGTTTCAGATATTTGTTATTGTTTAGAGATTGCAGAGAGCCATTGTGCTTGCTGTTATCTTTATTATCTGTTATACTACTTTCGCTATATTATTATCTGTTATTTTTAGCTTATTGTTAGCTATATAGCCTATAAAGTGGGAAAACACACAATTTGACAAATTCAAAAAAGGAGGCGCGACTCAAAAAGTTTGAGAACCACTGCTTTAGACGAAGCATGTTTGACACGGTGTGGTTGGGTTGTAGTTGCATAGTTTAGACATGACTAGGGATGTCTGGTTAGTAAAAATTAGAATTTCAATAAAAATACTTTGACTAGAAAATAAGCTTGAACTTGTTATGCATAATTCTGTCAGCGACAACTGAGAAATGTCATTAGTTTTCACCTTACTGTTATTACAACCTTGGGTGTTGCTGCTTGATAACCATTTCTGGTTCCCGATACTTCCCTTCCCCAGTAAAACTGTGTCGTCAGTTTTTCTTGTAAAGGATGCATCATTAATATTTACTGGTTGGATGCAACACGACCTAACTCCTGAGTTCAATTCCCATCTAAGTAAAGGCTAAAGAGCGGTTTTAGGATATCAGCGAAGTGGTATTGCTGAGTATATGTGCGTAACCGGATTAAATTATTCCGCCAGTCACGGTTCAGCGATTCCTGGTGGCACTTTTGTAGCGAACACTTCTTTGCATGTAACTACTGTTCTATACGATGCCTGCTTTTGTAGAAACTGCATGTTTTAACATTGAATTCTAAGTTTGGTTTTTTTGAGTTTGCATGCCTGTTGGTCTAGCAATTATGTGTTGCGCTGAATATCACCATTGCCAATAATTGCACTGATTCTCCTGCATGACCTGACAGCTTCTAATTTAGAGGTGGAGCTTATATATTTGGAGTTACGGCATGGGGGTATGTTTGACCTGTATTGGAGGGGAATTTGACCCATACTGGGGGTAAATTTTGCTGCAAGAAAGTACATGACAACCCCTGGTTGTTGCACACATAAAAAATCGCGAAGTACTCTGTTGCGCAATTGATGTTCATTATGCTCTCACTTCAGCGAGACTGCCTAGCCTAGCGTCACTTTTTCATAATTTACTTACCGATTATAGAATATATCAAAAATGGAGAGAGTGAGTTTTACTCATGAAATTTGCCAAGAAAGAACAAAGGTTTTAAATAGAAAAGGGAAATTTTTTTTATCAAATTTGTTAAGGTGAACGATAGACCACAACTTAAATCCCTTGTTCCCGCAATTTCTAAACTCATACGGCTGCAGGGTGGTTCATCTAACTTTTATTCAGTTTCTATTTCAAGCTAAACGTTAGGAATTTGTCATTGGACTCAAGCCTTGTAAAACATAGAGTCTCAAAGTGCTGTTGCAAGGCCCCACGGCTGGCGTCCGCGAGCTATTCATTTCTTTATTAATACTGAATACTCTTCAATCGAGTCAATAAATAAAGTAATTTCAGTTTACTCAGAAACTTTAATCGTTGAGTAACAATGTGTTTTTATTTTTATAGGTTTATGCTCTGTTTATGATTGTCGGTGCTCCTGAAGTATGTGTACCAAGATGTTGCACAACCTGAACATAGTATGTTTACCAGGTTTTGGTTCAGATTGTGTGTCATCTTGGTACACATACTTCCAGAGCGATTAATTATCAACCAATTCCGTAACAGTTTGAGAACCTTGGTTGTAGAAGGCTTGATATCTGAAAACAATAAACAGGCTATCTGGGGATTCCCCAACCAACCAACTCCCACATGGTCTTATCTACTTTCCTCTCTGATTACTCATATTCTCACAGATAACGGAATTCATATGAAGAGCGTCTCCAGTTCATTAAAAGAAGTTATTAATCACCGGGATTTCATGCAAGATGCGATTCATAACTTCTCGTCAAAATATCAAAACTATACTCAACAAAGCACTGTAGCGCCACCTTGTGATGACGATCATAATCAAAACGACACGAAACCGCAGTTTTTGTCGTCAACAAAATACCAATACTCAGACTATCCTGTGGAGAATGGTTCGCATCATCGTTCTACAGATTATGATGTCAGAAATGAAACTAATTCAGTTAGCATTGTGACATCAAAATCATCCCACAAACACCCACACAGGACGCGACGAAATCCCGGACAATCCAGTGAGCGATGGAACCTTCTCAGTTCAGATGATGAAATTTGATTCTTATCGTCATTTCAACGTTTTAAATCTAATGCTTAGTTTTTAATCTTTAACTTTATATCAAATGAAATCTATTTAACCCAGTTTAGTTCCCACTAGAGGTGCAAAAGAGTCATATCATCTCACCTAGGCAGAGGGTGTGTCATGGGTGGGTGTCATTGGATGGCTTTTCATTAGCCATGGCAGATATATCCTGAAATTGACTATACATTCTGATTCACACAAGCCCAACTGGTTATCCTTACTTCTAAGGCCCCACCCCTTTATTTGTGTATATGTATTTATATTGGTGATTTTCTCTTTATTTTTACTATTTTGAAATAGTTCCTTGGTTTGGGGCATTTCCTGGTTCAAAGGTCACTGGCGATTTTTTTTTATAATACCCATTTTTGTTCATTTCAATTTGGTGAAGTTTTATTTTTAGATTTGCTAGCAAATAAATTACATTTCAACAAAATGAATGCAATTTGAAAAAGATAATTTTATTGCAATTTCAAATTTTTCTGTAATATGTTACACTCTCAAGGAGAAAAATGCACATGGAAGTTGATTTTTTCATGTAAAATAGTTGCATTGGATATTTGGAATCGAATCGAAAACATATTCCCAAAGCCGTAGTTGAAAGTTTATGCCTCCGCTTTTCTCTCAAAAAAAAATAATTTTTGCTGTCACGTAGATGAGTTTTTCCTAGATTATTTGATGCTCCAGTAGTGTGTGTACTAATCTGAAGGTACCGGTAACTAACCTTGTTCGCCTACTTTTTCATCTAGTTGTGTAAAGGGACTGAAACCTATGGGCAGGGAGTATATTCACTTGGCTAACACAGACAGTCTCCGAACTCGTAATAAAACTAAAATGATAAAAAAAAGGAATAAAATTATGTCCAACCCTAACCTGGTACACATACTACAGGAGTACCGATTATTCAAACAATATTCATAGCTGAAATTTTAGAAACCTTTTTTTTTAGTTATTTTCTTACGTGGTCTATGAAATATTGATGAATCAGCAGATTTTTGAAGGTCATTATGGGAGTATTTGAAGGTCACAGTTTTGGTAATTTGTCCGGGATTTGCAATAAATAAGATTTTCATTATTTTATACTTGTCCAGATTTGGACCATATGAACCGTAGATGAAACATATAGTTAAGGCTCCACACATATATTTTTTGCTCTGTATTGTTAATAATAAATAGCCATTACTTTTTCTCCAAGTCTATCTCAATTGAGGAATTTTTAAAAGAGTGTTTTCAATATTTCTTGCTGCTGATGATATGGACATGGATGTATAAGTTTATTGGAACACATTAGAAAGAAGGAAATTCTTGAGTTGATTAATAGGGTGAATTCTTGATTTTAAGGAAGTTTTCGAATATTTTTAAGGAAGTTTTAAATATGCCTAATCGAGAGCTGACATAGGACCAAGAAGGTTTCATTCAACTTCTAATAACAGCAGAAAGAGAAAACGAATAAAACAATTCGATTCTTGAGTACATCCCCGCTTCTCACAAAATAATTTTCGCTGTCGTTTAGATCAGTGCTCTGAAACCTTGCTTGCGGCACACTTATAAAATTCAAGACTCTTGAATAGAATAGCCATTCACACTCTTTCCACAGCATCCTTGCGTAATACGGATCCACCTGCGCAAAGGCATAGAGAGCAAGGAAAGGTAGTTAGTTTCACGCAACCTCAACTGTTAGTCACACTTATAAAACTTTAAAACTTGCCAAATTTGACGGCACACCACAACAAACGAAAAATACAAGGTGTAACTATGTTTTATGTTCATATAACAATGAGAGATTTGTGGTTGTTTTAATGAGCACAATCGCTCTATATTAGGATCATTGCGTGACGCACAATCAATTTTGCAACACGATAACTAGCTCCTAATGCTTTTTCGGAGACTGTAAAAGACGACTTCACAGAGCACTCTCGCTTCCTATTTTACTTAACAACCGTTGGAAATAATTTATATTCTTGCGTGCATGAACGGCATGTTTCGTATTTAAGTGGCGCATAAGTTTACTCGGAAACATTGCTTCATTCAGATATTTATTTCGGTCATGCATGAAATATTACATTATCGAAACAAAGAACACAAAAATAATTCTATTGGAAAAAAAATAACACAATATTTCGATTGCAATTGACGAGGAGCCGCGAATAAACTATAACACTTTCGATGCCAAGATCAGTTTTTTCAATTTTACCGTTCCGTGCCAAGGCGAAAACGAGAGAGTTCTCTCCTATTCATTCTCTCTCGTATTTAGTTTTTGATTCATCGGGAAAGGGGCGAACACAGCGGTGTCATCAGTTATCGTTCATTCCGACACTTCAGTCGTAGGTGAAAGAACTCACCTACACACGCGTATCTTGTCGGAATTGCTCTCTCATGCTATTATAACATAAGTTGATGATAACTTGTCTTGATCTCTCATTGCGATAAAGATTCAATTCGAACATTTTATTCAGCAATCAGAATCATTTTATTATACGAAAATATCAAATTTGAACAAAGAAAACAAAATCGTTTACTAGCATAAAAATATATCCTTCATTCGCTATATATTCCAATAACATTAATAATGGCCAATTATTGTCACTCACAAGGATAACATATTGCAAAATAAACAAAGTAGTCACATTGCATATTCATACAACTGTAACACATATGTACTTGAAACATACGAACATAGTAAATTTATTACTGAGCTTCCATGTGGACCCAAGGGGTGTCGGTTTACCCACTCGTTAGGACTTGTTGTATGGGGTCCTTCGCGCTCCAGAAAATTCTGGAACGCCCTATTGCCCATTGCAGTGTCAATTACATCGATAATCCAGAAGAGTATGGTAGCGAGCGAAACAGTTTCCTGGATGTAAAGCGGGCGCGTCGAAGCGTGTGATGCAAATATATGTTGTTTCTCTTCTTTGTGTTTTTGTGCTGCATACTTTACATCGGCGCTGTTTCGCTTCTTTTGACTGAATATGTAATAGGCCGTTGAGTCTTTCGTTCGCCAGTTTAATTTTTTTTTGGGAAGGACTTTTGAGTTTTGGGCTCTTTTTTTGGACTGGTACGAACACCAGCTAAAAGATCATCGATCACCATTTGTCTGTACTTGAGAAGTGTAACAGTTCTACCTTCAGGGCGAGTTAATTTGTAAATAATATAACTGTTCGTGACGCTTGTTTCAATCAGCCAGAAAAATATTTTTTTCCACCATTTCACCGATTTCCTAGAGAAGTTGTAATAGCTGGTATACTGATCTGCCAAATCTACGCCTCCCATTAATTTGTTATAAAGTTCAATACACGTAGGTTTTTTTATGGTTTCTGATGAACCTCGCAACTGTTTCTCTATGACCTCGTCACCATTACAATACGTCGAAAGTATTGAAATCGGCCTCTTATCTTGCCATAGTAGTGCGAGTAATTGTCCTTTTCGTAGTGAGATGATTTCCCCTTTCTTTAGTTTTGTTTTTATTTCTGCTGGAAGTCCCTTCCGGTTTGCCATGACTGTTCCCGTTGTCGATGTTTTCCTTCGCTGCAATTCCTCGGCTAATGCGACAGAGTTGTAGAGTCTAAATTAAAAATGAATATTATTAAAAATTGGTTGTGATAAAACAGTTTATGCAATTGATTGATATATACGACAATGATTCGTTATCTAAAATAGAACGCAGTATGGCGCCGAGACGTAAATTATCTAATTTGTCTTATCAATACCGAATAATCAACATACTTTTCAACAAATACGTGATATCCTCTATCCAGATGACTTTCCATTAGTTGCGTATGTTTCAAGTACATATGTGTTACAGTTGTATGAATATGCAATGTGACTACTTTGTTCATTTTGCAATATGTTATCCTTGTGAGTGACAATAATTGGCCATTATTAATGTTATTGGAATATATAGCGAATGAAGGATATATTTTTATGCTAGTAAACGATTTTGTTTTCTTTGTTCGAATTTGATATTTTCGTATAATAAAATGATTCTGATTGCTGAATAAAATGTTCGAATTGAATCTTTATCGCAATGAGAGATCAAGACAAGTTATCTCCAACTTATGTTATAATAGCATGAGAGAGCAATTCCGACAAGATACGCATGTGTAGGTGAGTTCTTTCACCTACGACTGATGTGTCGGATAATACCGAAACATGCGTAATACATTTCAGGTGCGTTTGTATCTTAGTATTGCTCCTGAGTTTTCGTCGGGCGCTTCCAGATTTGGTGGGTTCAGTCAGTAAACGAAGAAATTCGAAGTCTTCACTTGCCTCGGCAAACATTTCATTCAATCTGGTATTTATAGCGAGCAAATACTTATTTGTGTGGATATTTGAACTAATATTGGCGTGCAAATGAAGTATTTCCAAATGCAATTTCAATATTCATTATACGCATCCGGTGTCTCTAAGTTGACATAATAAAAAGGTTTAAAGCTTCATCGAAATTCGTCAGTTGATCTGTCAAGAACACGATTTTCCGAAATTGTCATCTCACGCAATTTGCTACGCAAGTCGTCTCGACTGCACGTAGTCCCGTCTTCGTGGCGCCAGACACGTGATCGCTATTGCGTAGCTACGTAATCAGTACGCCATGGCTGCTTATTGAACTTGTTCATCCGACACAAAGTCGTAGGATTGCATATTTTGCTATAATTATGGTTATACAATAGCTACGGAAGTAATTCAATATGAGCTGAAAGCATACGAGGGGCTCTGTGTTATTGGTAATATATTTCCCACTAAATTACTAAATTACATGAAGTTAAGGCTACATAAATGAAATGAGATCAGGGCAGTAGAATTAAATATATGAAAGATTACGCAATAATGAATCATAAAGAAGAAATTTAAGACATCAAAGCTTGTGTAATAAAGGTGAAAATATTCAACAACAATGAAAAGGAATGATATGCAGCAATAAAAGCATCACATTTGCAAAACTGGCATCAAGAACCCTATCAGAAATGACCAACCTGGTGACTGGCAAATTACTGAATGTTATAAGCATTGAGGTACAGTTTTTTTAACTCTATTTTGAACGTATTATGGGTCTTGGAGCGGATAGTAACTGGGAGCATATTCCAAAGTTTTATGCCCATGTACTTTATGGAATTTTGTGTACGACTGGATGAATAGCGGGTCATAAAATAAGAGCTATTGGTGGAGGAGCGTGTTGCATAAGAGTGGATAACGCTTTGCTTAACGAAATAGCTA